TAATTGTCACTCAAAGAAGGAAGTTGTGGCAGGTGGGCCACCCGGTCCGCAGCCCTCCAGTCTTAGCCCTCTGCTGATTACCAGTATCAGCATTCTTCCATACTCCCAGATTTAAAAAGTCCCAATCACCTATAACTCCACTATTCATCCTCTATATATGAAGAAGAAAAATATGGTAGTCTGTATCTGGCGTTCCTCAACTTCCACTCCACCGTTCCCGTGTGTTTTTACCTCAGAAGATCTGGGGAATGATTGGTCTGGAGCAGTGATTTTCAAATTCTTCTCCATGGAGTAGACATTCCAAAAAGGTGACTCAGGAGATTTCATGGGTATGGTGACGGAAAGGAGGTTGATGGAAGGGCCAAGGACTTAAGTTCTGGAAACATCTGCTATTCAAGGCACTTCAGTTGCAACTCTTGCCTCTTCCTTCCTTCTGCACAGCAGATTCTGGAAACTCAGACTTTATGAAAACAAAATCCAGAAAAGGAAGTGTCTGCAAGAACCTTCTGCTTTCAGATCTGACATATACACTTTTTTTCTGGGCAAGGGAAGGTAAAGAGTCTGACCCTGCACAGGACCAGGAAGGAGAAAAATGCTATGTGAAAAACAAAGTATTTCTAAAAATTCTCCTGTCACATTGGGAATAGTGATATCAAGCAGGCTTTAAGAATTATTTTAAAAAAAAAGAATTATTTTCATAGTGAAACAAAAGATTGATTACCAAAAAAATGGTTAATCCTAGTTTTTCTTCCAAATATAGGAAAGATTGCCATTATTCAACATTAGCAATGAAGCAGGTTTCCTTGAGTGTATAGTTTGAGACTCATTAGTCCAACTTCTTTTTTATGAAAATGTCAGTGTTACTTGTACTGACACAGATTATTTATTGAGATTTAATTTTTTGTTTACTAATGCTTAAGTTTTCAAAAAAGAAAAACCCCAATGTTGGCACAATGGAGACGGAGACATTCTTTTTTAAAAAATCATATTAAATGTACTCTTTAATCCTCATCCCCTAATTCCCTATTCCCCCACCCTCTATCCCCTCCTCTGATAGCCATCAGTTTGTTCTCTATAATTAAGAGTCTTTTTCTTGGTTTGTCTCTCTCCCATTTTTTTCTCCCTTTGCTCTTTTGTTTCTTAAATTCCACATATGAGTAAGATCATATGGTCCTTGTCTTTGTCTGACTTATTTCACTTAGCATAATAGTCTCTAACTCTGTCCATGTTGTTAAAAATAGCAAGATTTTATTCTTTTTTATGGCTGAATAATATTCCATATGTATCTCACATCTTCCTTATCCAGTCATCTATCTGTGGACACTGGGCTTCCATAGTTTGGCTATAGTAAATAATGCTGGAGTAAACATAGGGGATATCCCTTTGAATTAGTGTTTTTGGGGCACCTGGGCGGCATCCACCTCTTGGTTTCAGCTCAGATCATGATTTCAGGATCATGAGATCACCCTAGGTCAGGCTCCAAGCTCAGGGTGGAGTCTGCTTAAGACTCTCTTCTCCTTCTGCCCTCCCATAATCCCCCCACTACTGATGTGGACGTGAGCATGCGTGCCCTTACACTCTTTCTCTAAAATAAATGAATAAATCTTTTTTTTTAAAAAAAGGATTAGTGTTTCCATATTTTGGAGGTAAATACTCTGTAGTACAATTACTGGGTCACAGGATACTTCTACTTTTAACTTTTTGACAAACCTCCTGTTTTCCACAGTGGCTACACCAGTTTGCATTCCCATCAACAGAGCATGAGGGTTCCTTTTTCTCCAGATCCTCCCCAACACTTGTTATTTCTTACATATTTGTTTTAGCCATTCTGACAGGTATGAGGTGACATCTCATTGTAGTTTTGATTGGCATTTTCCTGATAATGAGTGATGCTGAACATCTTTTCATGTGTCTGTTGGCCATCTATATGTCTTCTTTGAAGAAATGTCTGTTCTTGTTTTTTGCCCATTTTTAATTTTTTTAAAAAAATTTATTTATTTATTCATGAGAGACACATAGAGAGAGGCAGAGACACAGGCAGAAGGGGGAGCAGGTTCCCTGCGGGGAACCCAAGGCAGGACTAGATCCCAGGACCCTGGGATCACAACCTGAGTCAAAGGCAGATGCTCAACCACTCAGCCACCTCAGCGTCCCTTGACACATTTTTTAATTCGATTGTTTGCTTTTTGGGTGTTGAGTTGTATAAGTTTTTTAAATATTTTGGATACTTGGGGACCTGGGTGGCTCAGTCGGTTAAGCATCTACATTCACCTCAGGTCATGATTTCAGGGTCCTGAGATGGAGCCCCACATTGGGCTCTCTGCTCATCAGGGAGTCTACTTCTCCCTCTCCCTGCTCATGCTTGCTCTCTCTCTTTCTCTCTCTCTCCATCAAATAAATAAATAAAATCTTAAAAAAAAAATATTTTGGGGCAGCCCAGGTGGCTCAGTGGTTTGGCGCCACCTTCAGCCCAGGGTGTGACCCTGGAGACCGGGATCGAGTCCCATGTCAGGCTCCCTTCATGGAGCCTGCTTCTCACTCTGCCTGTGTCTCTGCCACTCTCTCTCTCTCTTTCTCTCTCTCTCTCCTTCTCTCTTTCTCTCTCTCTTTCTATATCTCTAATAAATAAATAAATAAAATCTAAAAAATATTTTGGATACTAACCCTATATCAGCTATGCCATTTACGAATATCTTCTTCAATTCAGAAAGTTCCCTTTTAGTTTTGTTTATTGATTCCTTCACTGTGCAGAAACTTTTTATTTTGATGTAATGCCAAAAAGATTTTTTTTGAAGATTTTATTTTCAAGTAATCTCTACACCCAGCATGGGGCTTTAACAACCCCAAGACCAAGAGTCACATGCTCTTCCAACTGACCAGGCAGGTGCCCAGGAATGCAACAGATTTCTTCTGTACATTGGTTTTGTATCCTGTGACTTTACTGAATTCATGTATCAGTTCTAGTAGTTTTTTGGTAGAGTCTTTCAGGTTTTTTATATAGTATTATGTCATCTGCCAATATTGAGAGCTTGATTCTTCCTTACCAATTTTAGATGCCTTTTATTTCTTTTTGGTGTGTGATTGTTGTGGCTAGGACTTCCAGTACTATGTTGAATAAAAGTAGTGAGAGGAGTGCCTTAGTGGCTCGGTTGGCTGAGCTTCCAACTCTTGATTTCAGCTTAGGACATCACCTCAGGGTCATGGGACCAAGCCTGATGTCGGGCTCCATGCTCATCAGGGAATCTGCTTGAGATTCTCTCCCACTTCCTTTCCTTCTGTCCCTACCCAACCCCACATGTGTCACATGTTCTCTCTCTCTAAAGTGAACAAATATATTTTTTTAAAAAGTGGTTAGAGTGGGTATCCTTTCTTGTTCCTGGCTTTAGGGGAAATTCTCAGTTTGATGTTTGAGTTTGGTGTTTGCTATGGATTTTTCATTTAAGGCCTTTATTATGCTGAAGTACATTCCCTCTAGACCTACTTTGCAGAGGGTTTTTATCAAGATGGATGTTGAACTTTGTTAAATGATTTTTCTGCATCCATTGAAGTGATCATATGGTTTTTATCCTCTCTTGTATTGATGTGATGTATCACATTGATTGTTTTGGGAATATTGAACCATCTTGCATCCCGGGAATAAATCCCACTTGATCGTGGTGTATGATTTTTTAATGTATTGTTGGATTCAATTTGCTAGTATTTTATTGAGGATTTTTCCATCTATATTCATGAGAGATATTGGCCTGTAGTTCTTTTTTTTGTGGTGTCTTTACTGGTTTTGGCATCAGGGTGATACTGGGTTCATAGAATGAATTTGGAAGTTTTCCTTCCTCTTGTGTTTTTTGGAATAGTTAGAGAAGACTAGGAATTAAGTAAGCACAGATTTAGAAGACTGAATCTCCATTGTGGAAGATAGCCACAAAACAGGTCCTCCAGTAAACCATGCATAACTGGATTTAGGCCTCTCTTCTTGATAGCTGGCCCTTTGATTTACTTATAACCATATAATGTGACAGAACTGTAGACACACTGCATGCTATCTGAGACTAGGTGAGAAGAAGTAGTGTAACTTCCACTTATATCTCTTTCAGAGAGGTCTGAACCACCACATAAAAAAAGACCAACTATCCTGAGAACACCATTTTAGACGGGCCATATTTATGTAGGCACTCTAACCAATAGTCCTAGCTGATCCCACTCTTCCAACTATCCCTACATAGGCACCAGACTTGTAAGGGAGGCCACCTTGAACTGTCCTGACCAGCACATCCAGCAGATGAATATCAGTGAGTAATCTCAATTGACATCCTTGGAACATAAGAATCACCCAGCCTGCCCAAATTCCTCCCATAAAATCATGAGATGTCATAAAAATAATTACTCAATTTTGAAAATTTTGTTACATAGAAAATAGACAACTGGCATAATAATTCACAACTTGGAACTTAAAATTTATCTTCTGAAAAAGATTCTATAAAATATTACTTTTGCATAATATATATATACATACTTAGATTAGACTATATTTTAGATTAATTATAGTTGGAGGGGACCTAAGAATATAACCATTGTTTATAGCACTATTACTATAGGAAAACTTGTTTTTTATTTAATGTGAAATGACTTTTTAAATGGACATTTAGAATGGGAAATTATAGTATTTCTTTGTATTTCTTTTTTTTTTTTTTAATGTGCACAACAGGAGGCAGGGCGGGGGCAGGGGGCACCTGGGTGGTTCAGTCAGTTAAGTGTCTGACTCTTGATTTCCATTCAGGTCATGATTTCAGGGTGGTGACATCGAGCCCCCCCATCAGCCTATGCTGGGTGAGAAGCCTGCTTGAGATTCTCTCTCTCTCTCTCTCCCTCTGCCCCTGCCTCTCTCTCTAGCTCATGTGTGCATGCTCACACACGCATGCACACTCTCTCTCTGAAAAAAGGGGGAAAATGTGCACAAGAGACACTTGTTCCTTTCCATTTCTATTATGTTTTTTTACTCTCAGGCTTTACTCCTGCATGCCTGGATGACCGTGACAGTGCCCAGCTCTTTCCCATTGGATCATTCAGTAACTATGGATTGAACTTGTACTTTGAGGTAGACACTGAGATACATGCCGAGGATACAATGGTAAAAGAGACTAGACAATTTCTTCCCATGTCCACTATTTCACATACAATAATTTTCACATTAAATTTCCTAAAACCTTGCTTTTATTACATCATTTCATTATTTAAGAACCTATAGCAACTCTCTTTTTTCTTACTTAATCAAGTTCAAATTCTTCTGCTTAGAAGTGTCCAAAGCCTTCTATCATCTGACTTCACTTATTTAAATAGGATTTTCACACTGTTCAATATCTTACTTTTTTGACTCCTGGCAACTGGCCTTTTCACTGCCTCTTATATTTTGCTAATTTCGAAGTCCTGCAATTTCACTCTGAATTTCTCTACCTTATGCCTACCCAAATCCTATTCATCCTTCTCCAAGTGCCGCCTTCTGCAATTAGCAATAATCGCACCTCAGATAAACCTCATTGGCTACAATACTGCCACTGTGCAAAGCTAAGTGCCACCTTCTACAATTGTTTTTTTCAGAATAGATTTTTTTCAAAAATCAGACAGAAAAACCCAGCATTCTATTTGATGCCATATCTTAATTCTTTAGAACATATTTTAAAAATGTTTTGATCAAAACAACACATGCCCATAGTTTATTTTATGTTTTTTAAGATTTTATTTATTTATTCATGAAAGACAGAGAGAGAGAGAGGCAGAGACACAAACAGAGGGAGAAACAGGCTGCATGCAGGGAGCCTGATGTGGGACTCGATCCCTGGTCTCCAGGATCACACCCTGGGCCAGAGGCGGCACTAAACCGCTGAGCCACCTGGGCTGCCCCACATGCCCATAGTTTAAAAGTAAAATTACAACAATAAAAAACAGAAGTTTCTTGCTCCATCCACTCCAATCCTCATTTCTGTTCTTCAGAGTGATCACTTTAACTCTCATAGCAGTTTTTCTGGTATTTACCTCCATGTCCTAAATAGCATTCTTTTATTACTGCTTTTTGATTTATTATTCTTATTAAATGAAATTTTACCTCTTTTTACTGCCCCTTATCTGAATCAATACACATAATTTCTTCCCTTACCTTCCCAATATATTTCCATCACCATTTTTAGTTAAATAGCATACAGTTACATTCTTTTACCTTTTAGAAGATTTAATTTATTTATTTTGAGAGAGAGAGAGAGAGAGAGAGAGAGAAGGGGCAGAGGGAGAGAATATGAAGCAGACTCCACACTAAGCATGGAGTGCAACTTGGGTCTCCATCCCATGACCCCAAGATCATGAACTGAGCTGAAATCAAGTCAGTCACTTAACTGACTACCAGATACCCCTACTGTTACATTCTAAGTAATTTTTATTCATAGCTTAGCTAAATTGTGCATTATAATTACATTGTTTATCTTGTACAGCTTTTTTTTTTAAACTGTCTTCTTACTTTTGTTGTTGTTGAGAAGTCTGATTCCTTCTGGTCCTGATCTTCTGTATGTGATCTGCATTTTTCTTCCAAGCAGCTTTTAGTTTCCTTTTATCTATACTTCTCTTGTCTTTCTTATTTGCCATCTCTGGTTTTTGTTCTTTTTGGAAGATTCTCTCACGTTTATTTTTAACTCTTTTTTTTAACTCTTAGGTTTTTTTTTTTTTTGTGTGTGTGTGTGTGTACACATATATGTGAGTGTATATGTACACAAATAACATAAATTTCTTTGATATCCTAATGTTTTTGGTATGTTGATCCCAAACTGAAATGTGTATATGTATATATACATATATACACATACATATACACACATATACATATATACACATATACATTCTCTAAATTTGTATTTTCTAAACAAATGTTTTTATTTAAATTTGTCCTTGCTTCATAGAGCAATATATTCTTATCATTCTGAGGAACTATTTTGTTTTTGCTTTAGTCTTTTTCCATTTTCTAAATTTTCTGTTTTTTTTCTCTCTCTCTCACTCATGTTAGAGCATTTTCTCAAATGTGTGTGACCCTTGGTGTTCTAACATCTTTGAGTAGGAATCTAAAACACTTACTGAAGCTCTGTGCATGCAGATTGTGTTTGTAGATCAATGGGTCTCACCACCCTGTGATTGGGCAGGATCTAGCAACTTCATCAGGGAAATGATGAATGCCATTTTACATAGACAACCCTTTTGAACTGGTTAGTTTCTCCACAGAGGAATTCTCCAATTTCTTGCAAGGTGAACATAAGTCTGGTGGCCAGTTTCCTTTGAAATGAATAGAAATGGGTGATTGCAACCTTCAGTTTGTACACTTTCATCTCCCTGTTTTCAGCAAGACAGCTCACTTACCACATGAGCTGTGTCTGGTGTCTTTGAGTCCATGGCCTCTCTGGCTCAATTTCTTCTGAAAGTGAGTTTTCTTCCTTCTGTTGTGCTGGGCATTTTAACAGTAGTTGCATTTTAACACTTCCTATATAATCTTTCAACTAAATCTTCCTATTTTTCAGCTCTATGCTGCACCCCTGCCTCCTGGCGTCTACAATTCCTGAGGCTTTCTGTATTCTGTGTGCAGAATTGACTTACTTTTTGGCTTTCTGCCCTGAAAGCTTAGGTTTTAGCATTCTCCAGCCTATTTAGGAAGTTATACTTCTTTTTTTTTTTTTAGATTTTATTTATTTAAGTTATTTATTTATTTTATTTATTTATTTATTTTATTTATTTGAGTGAGAGAAAGAGAACATGAGCAGGGGTTGGGGAGGTATGGGGGCACAGGGAGAGGAAGATGCAAACTTCCAGCTGAGTAGGGAGCCCGAAGACATGGGACTCAATCTGAGGACCCTGGGATCATGACCTGAGACGAAGGCAGAAGCTTAACGGACTGAGCCACCCAGGCTATTACAGATTTTCAACATTTTGTTGAAATCCTGTTTACTGATGATTTTCTTTCAAGTTTTCTTATTCACTTGTGGTGTTGAGACTTTTATATTTCTTTACTGTTACTTTAGTGGAGCATCAGGGGATCAAAGATAAAAGTGAATATTCAACTTGCCATACTTAATTGGCCACTCTAGATGTTTAAGTATATTTAACCTCAAGAATATAATAAATTCCTTGAGAGCAGTTAAGTGTGACTCATTTTCTCTAACAATGTTTAGCTCAGTGCTCAGAATCTCATAAGTGCTAATAAATCCTATACTGATTAAAATTGGAATTCAGTGAGTGACTATTAATTATGGTCCTCTGCTCAAGAGATGGTGGGATACAAATGTGAATAATTTCTCACTGAGGAAGTCCTAGTCTAGTGGAGGAGTTAAAATTAAATACAAATCATAGGTATAGATTCTGTAAAAGCAGTGCCATGAGAACACAAAGAACGGATGTTTTGGAGAAATTTCCCAATATTTTGAAAATGAAATCAGATGACAGTGAAGATCTTGTCCAAAATCTGCCTCTCATCTACACAACATTAGGGTGGATATACTGTGGGGTTTTAAAAATGTTTATTTATTCATGAGACACAGAGAGAGAGAGAGACAAAGAGAGGCAGGGACACAGGCAGAGGGAGAAGCAGGCTCCATGCAGGGAGCCTGATGCCGAACTTGATCCTAGGACTCCAGGATCATGCCCTGGGCCAAAAGCAGACGCTAAACCGCTGAGCCACTCAGGGATCCCGGATGTATTGTGGTTTGACCAGGTATATGCCCTAGGTTTCATTCTTATTCAGCTAATATTAACAATTATATGTGATAATATATATTTAACATGTGAAGTATTGAATATATATATTAACATATATTAAATATATAAAATTAATATGTTAGTATTAAATATCTATTATAACGTAATTATAACAACTGTAAGGAGAATGCACATAATTGAAGGGTCTCATATATTCATGTATTTACAGTGATTTGACAAGCTTGTTAATTCTTTTTTTTAAAAAAAGGCTTGTATATATTCTGCAATTTTAAAAAAAGATTTTATTTATTTATTCATGATAGAGAGAGAGAGAGAGGCAGAGAGACACAGACAGAGGGAAAAGCAGGCTCCATGTCGGGAGCCCGACGCGGGACTCATCCCGGGACTCCAGGATCATGCCCTAGGCCAAAGGCAGGCACTAAACTGCTGAGCCACCCAGGGATCCCATATTCTGTAATTTTTTAATTTTTTCAGATTCCTTCTTAAATAAACATATATGCAACCAGGTCTACATCCCTAGGAACAAGCAGCCTGGGCCACAGGAAAACCAACAAGAATTTTACTGCAGCCAGTCCATCTGCTCAAACCAAATTAATAGAGCAATAATCTACAATGGCATAAAAATAGTTCTTTTTAAATCTGCCAAAAATTTTTGCCGTATGTCTTAGGTTGGGTTTGATGGGGAAAAGTCTTTAAGGCAGAAATTTGCTTGGAGGTTAATTGGAGTGTACTCTCGGGAAAGCCACCTGCAAGAAAAGGAGCAAAGTGCATTAAGCAGAGAAATTGAATCATGATGCAGTTGTAACGAAAACCTCAAATGATTTTTATGGGAAAGCTGTGGAGGAGGGATGGCCCATGAGAGTTCTTCTAACTGAGACAAAAGTCTAGTCATTGAATGTTGGTTATCCTTGATGAAGAGTCATGATCCTAGGTGAGGCAGCTCTCTTTTGTGGAGGGCAGTTCCCAGGGAGGCTGGGAGTCACCACCAAACTTCATCATAAATGGGGAATTTGAGGCTTTGGGTGGCACATCGCAAGATTCGCTACACCAATGTTGCAGGGCATTTAAGAAGTCTTTATATTGTGTGTCTCTACAAAGACTTGATTTTTTTTAAAGATTTATTTGACAAAAAAAAAAAAGATTTATTTGACAGAGAGGGAGAGCAAGAACAAACAGGGGAAGCAGCAGGCAGTGGGAGAGGGAGAAGCAGGCTCCCCACTGAGCAGGGAGGCCAATGTGGGGCTCTATCCCAGGACTTCCAGTTCATGACCTGAGCCAAAAGGCAGATGCTTAACTAATTGAGCCACTCAGACCCCTCAAAGACTTGATTTTTAATATAGTAGGAACTGTCAGTCTAGGTCCTTCCATCCACTGCTGTTTTCTCTA